CAAGAACAGATTGTGTAAGAATAATCATCTTGTTTTCAGAATGTGTAAGATTATTTGTCTTGTTAGTCTGAAAATTTGACTCAAATTAAGTCGAAACTTTCTGCCAGTGGAGTAAGAAAATTTTACTTGGTAAAACTTCTTGAAATAAGAAAAAATTGAGTCAAATCAAGTATTTCAAGAAGTCTTACCAAGTAAAATTTTCTTACTCCACTGGCAGAAAGTTTCGACTTAATTTGAGTCAAATTTTCAGACTAACAAGACAAATAATCTTACACATTCTGAAAACAAGATGATTATTCTTACACAATCAGTTCTTGGTTAGTAAATCAGTCTCAAAACAAGATCAAAAAGACTTTTTGGCTGATATAAGATTTTAAAACTTGGTTAGGTGGACATTTTTTGCAGTGAGGTTTTACACAATGCAAATGTAGTTTTGAACCTTTCATCCTCAACCTTTCAGCTTGTCATGACTGTGTCCTCCACACTTGTTATGCAAAGAAGGGTCAAAATGTGAGGATTTGTCACAGAGTTACATTGTTTCATTGACACGGCCTCTTAATTACACTGCCCTGCGCTGTAGCTGCAGAATGTGCTCATTTTGTAGAGGCAAGAATATTCAAGGACAGCCTTTAACAGCTAACATTCATGGTGATTACAGAAGTGTTGAACTTTAATTAAAGTAACTGTGTTCATGGGGACAAAAAAACACATTTGGTTYACTGGTGTGAAGAGGCGGTCTGAATACAGTCTAAGATGTTTCACAGGTTTGGACAGAGGGACACATCCRTCCTCAAGACATCTTCTATAAAGAGCCCAGAAAAACAGCTGGACAAGGAAGCCTGTCCTCTGAGGGACAGAGCAGAGTTGCGGTATGTTTATGTTGAACAAGAAGTTGATTGAAAACAGGATGGTTAGTTAGTCTACCTAAATTATTTGTAAGAAGATTTATGTTGGGYGTGTGACTGTAAATGTTACCAAACACCTCAAGAGCTTCTCTGAGCTTGATGAGACATGTTCAAAATATAATATTGACTTAGTTTTATGTTTTTTTATGTTGCCTCTTTGCCATTTATTTGTAAATAATAATAACATGTATTAACAAACCCTGGTCCTCAAGGACTCCTGTCCTGTTTTAGATGTTTCCCTACCTGGTTTGATTAACCTGGAGTGATTAACTATCTAAACCTGCTGGTTAGCAGGGAAACAAGTAAAACATGAAGGATAGGAGTCCTTGAGGACCAGGGTTGTGGCTGAGTCGGGGGGGGGGGGGGGTCCTCCAATGAGAGAGTTGGAGGTTTGATTTCCCCACTATTCAGTCACATGCTGAAGTGTCATTGGGCAAGACACTGTACCCCCACTGCCATGAGTGAATGAATGTGATTTAAAGCACTGACCAGTCTCCATAGAACGAGTTGTACATGTGATATAATGTAAACTACATCATTAGCATATATATCCTTCGAATTTAGGTTTTTTTAGGTCATCTTTCAATTTATCCAAAGCTTTTTTGATGTGTTAAACATTCTTATTTGTTACAGCTACAGTCCTAATACATTGGTATTTTTTATAAACARTAAAAACTGGTAAATGATCACTTATATCAGTTGTGAAAAGTCCACTCAACACCTCTCCATTTCTTACATTAGTGAATATATTGTCACTTATTGTAGCAGTAAGTGCTGTGAATCTTGTTGGTTTTGATATTAGTGGATATAGTCCCAAAATATACATTGTATTAATAAACACATTATTGGAATCAGTTTGATTTCCCAAGTCAATGTTGAAATCACCTCACAAAAGAAATAAATAAAACAGTTTTATTATAACTCATTTCAAAGAGCTCTGTGATTTGATGAGAAAATAGTTCAGTATTTGAGCCTGGTGAGTGATACACACAGCTGATTGTTATATTTTTTGACTTCTTATTTAATATTTCAATGGTGATTATTTCCATTTTACATTTTATTGCAGTATCTACAAAYAATGCAACTCCCCCACCTCTTTTACTTCTATTCATRTAATATAGTCCCTATCTTTCTATTYGAATACTTTTTACATTTTTATCATTAAGCCGTATGTTTCTGAAACTGCTATTACACCGAACCTTCTGTTGAACTGTTTTAAGTAGTCTGTTATTAAATAGGCTGTTTATAGCCATTTGTTTTCTAAGATCAGTTAGCTGACAGCCATCTTTAATCAGGTTGACCAGCTGCAGATGGATGATGATTATCTTATTACGGAAAGATTGATTAAAATTTGTCTGTTAATGGGATATTTTCCTAATGATCACATAAAAAAAACAGGCTGAACGTCCACTTTTCACAATGGCAGGCTATAATAKTAGCAAATTATCTAAGTCTCAATTATTAATGGTTAATACTGTCCGCAGCCTTTATAGGTACATTACAGATTAATCCGACACCTAATTGTTTATTTTGTTATAACTTACTTTTCTTTGGTGAGAGCTGTAAAATTCTGCTGTTCTTTAACACTTATGTGAACTGTTGTGATTTTAGCTCTGAGCGCCACGCTGACGCCATCTTCACAAACAGCTACAGGAAGGTTCTGGGTCAAATATCTGCCAGGAAGTTCCTGCAGACCATCATGGGCAAACGACTGGGGTAGGTCCCCATCTCCACGTGTCAGTCGTCCCAGAAATCCACAAGAAAATCTGATTCTTGCCTCTTTTTTTTTTCCATCTCCTCCATTTTCCAGAGATGAAAGTGAGAGCTACATGAAACGTCAGTCAGATATCTATGAAGGAACATTTAAAGAAGACCTCACATCTATCCAGAGTGAAAGGTACAGAGGCGTGCAGGGCAACGTCATTAGGCCAAGGTAGAGCTCTTTACATCCAACAACAGAACGTTTCATCATCGTGTTGTTTTAATAAAATAATGCTTCCTCAAAACAGACTGCTGAGTTGAGGACGAACTGAAGACGAGCAACCATCACAGCTTGTTTTTTTTTTCTTCTACTAATAAAATTCATCTTGTCATTTATTTTCAAATAATAAATATTCTAATTCGTTATTAAAAATTGTAAAAACATTTGGTTCATTCTTGGGGGAGGGAAATGGTGGACAGTTTCCAGAAGTACAAGGGTCTCCAGAAAAGATTAATATTTGTTGAAGTCGTTCAGCAGCTCTCTTTTGTAAGTACACATTCACAAAGTGGACGATAGTTTCAGCTGAAATTCTGTTTTAAATTTTTTAATGATCTTAACGCGATGATGTCATGTTGTTATAAATGACACTCAGCTAATATCAAATTCAGTTGTAGTTCATTCTCTGTAATAATGACTGCGTTAAAGCTTTTTGTGTGTTGGTTAATGATAATTAGCTGTGGCAGCCATCAAGAATTGGACCGACTCCAAAGATAAATCAGATGCAGATGTGCACCCAGTGATTTCACTAAAATCTATCCAGTGGTTCATGAGATATTTTGCTAACAGACAGAATCAGCTCCAACAGTAAAGTCTTCAGGCAAAGATCTTGCAAAATGTGTTGCTTGGAGTGTGTCTGAATAACTCTTAGCTACAACCACATTAAGTTTTAGCACAGTATGTAAAATTGGCTAAAGGCCAGTTAGCTGAGAAGGCCATCTTGAATTGTAATTGGCTCCAAAACATATTTCTTTATAGAATAAATCCAATAATTATTTCCTTCAAGTGTCATTTAAAAGTGTCTGCTTCATGAAAAATTTTCCTACCAGAGTTGATCTGATCATTTTTGGCAACAGTTTAAACAAAGATCTTGTACGATCTGTTTAGGCTCAAAATAAAACCAGTCACAGCTATTCCCACACAAAACCAACATCTCTTAAACCCACTGAGTTACARCCATTCTATTCTTTTACATATATGAAGCACATTTTGTGACTAATGAACTGAATTTTAGATAGGAGAGAATCAAGTGTTTCTATGTAATTTGTCCTTCCTCAGCAGGACAAACAAGGACTTGTTGACACACCAGTGTAACAGACCAGGGGGTAAAAAGTACCGGCCTCAGGGGGGTGACCAGGTAGTGTTGAGAGGGAGTCTGAAAGCAGCAGCAGAGGCTTTTATTTGCTGATAGGACTCAGGGTCACACAGGTACTGAGAGACAGCAGCTCTGAGCAATAAGATGGGGTTTTACAGCTGAAGAATAAAGATTTGTAACAGAGAATTCACATGATCCAAGCCAGAATAACTGCTCAGAAAATAATTGGTTATCTGAGCAGTTATTCTGGCTTGGATCATGTTTTCTTACAATACATTCATACATACATATATGTACAATATATACAGTATATACAGCTCTGGAAAAAATGAAGAGATAACTTTAAAATGGTCATTTTCTAAGATTTTACTTTTTATAAAGTATGTGTTTGAATAAAATGAACATTGTTATTTTATTTTATGAACTACTGACAACATGTCTGTGAAATTCCAAGCAAAAATTAAGTCTTTATTTGCAGAAAATGAGAAATGGTCAAAAACGATGACAAAGATGCAGAGCTTTCAGACCTCAAATAATGCACAGAAAACAAGTTCATATTCATTTAGAAATAATAATACTAATGTTTTAACTCAGGAAGAGTTCAGAAATCTGTATTTGGTGGAACGTTGTCAACCAAAAAAAACAACAAAAAAGAAAAAGCAGGGAAACTTTGCAGCAGTTTCTTAATTTGTTCCAGGGCTCTCTCTGTGTGTGTGTGTGTGTGTGTGTGTGTGTGTGTGTGTGTGTGTGTGTGTGTGTGTGTGTGTGTGTGTGTGTGTGTGTGTGCTTGAGACTGAACTGTCGGCATGCATGCAGATCTTGTTGAAAGC